CTTCTTTCTGAAGAAGGGTCTGGGCCCGAAACGTCAGCCTTCCTGCTCCTGTGATGCTGCTTGGCCTGCTGTGTTCATCCAGCTCTACACCTTGTTATCTAAAATAGGTGTGACCCAGATAAATCAAAGCTTGGCAGGCAAAACTATAAGAGATATGGCTGTCTTTTAAAGAACTGTGTTCAGGCACAGTCAAAGTATATTCCCAGAAAGGGGAAAGTTAAGATAATTAAATCCAGACAAAGGTGATAGAAAATAAGATGATGAAAAAAAAGGAATGTTTTTGATGGCTGTCAGGGGAGTAATACAACTAAAAGAGTTAAGCTGTATATTGCAGTTTAGAAGAGAGTTGATAAAGCAAAAATAAGAAACAATATGAAATGATACTGGCAGCTAACACAAAAGAGAATTTGAAAGTCTTCTATAGCATAGAAACAGTAAGAAGAAGAGTGGGGTCAATTAGAGACCAAAAGGATGATTTTCATGTCGAGGCAGGGGCATAGCTGAGATATAAAGGTAGATACTGTGCAATTCGTGGTGAATGAGGAAATATTTCAGACACTTGAAGCATATAAAATTGATGAGGGTGTAGTATTGGATAGGTTGTCTGTATTTTGTTGATAAGACACCAGGACTAGATGAGGAGCATCTAAAGACAGTGAGGGAAACGAAAGCAGAAATTGTGGAAATACTGGCAGTCATTTTCCAGTCTTCCTTTGACTGGAGAATTGCAAATATTACACTTGCCAGAAAAGGATATAAATATAATCTCACTAGCTACAGGCCAGTCAGTTTAACCTATGGGAAGCTTCTAGAAATGATCTTGCAGGACAAAACTAATTGTACTTTGTGGGTTAATATAGAAAATTCAGTAAAGGGGAAAGTATGTTTATGTTTAATTTTTTGATGAGTTAACCGAGAGGTTCAGTGAGGACAAAGCTATTGATGTAGTGTACATGGACTTCGAATCATAGAATTGGAAAGAGCCCAGCCAACCCATCAAGACTGCACCGACCCTCAAAAGCAAGCCACCCAGACCCAGTTCCCTATCCTTTCCCCATAATCCCATATTTCCCATGGCTAATCTGCTTAGCCCTGCACATGCCCGGACATTGCAGACAATTTATCATGGTCATTCCACCTGACCTGCCTGTTTTTAGACTGTGGGAGGAAACCGGAGGAAACCCATGCAGACCCGGGGAGAATGTGTAAACTCCACACAGTCACCCAAGGCTGGAATTGAACCCGAGTCCCTGGCACCATGAGGCAGCAGTACTAACCACTGAGCCATCATTCTGACTTCCAAAAGGCATTTGATAAAATAGTGCACAACAGACTTGTGAACAAAATTAGAGCCACTCACCATCCTGACTTGGAAATATATTGCCGTTCCTCCAATGTCCATTGCTACCAGCACTATGGGAGTACCAACCCTCTATGGACTGCATGTTCACGACCACCTTTTCAAGGGAAATTCAGGATGGATAGGATATATTGGCCTGGCCGAGTTAGCAACATGCACGTTAAGTGAAAGAATAAAATACAAGGATGGAGAATTAATGGGCACAAATTTAAAGTAACTGGTAAAGGAAGTAATGGCAACATGAGAAAAAAAAATTTCCACACAGGGCGCGATTAGCATCTGGAATGCACTGCCTGAGAGTGTGGTGAATGCAGGCTCAATTGAGGCACTGCAGTGGAAGTTGGATTATTATCTGAAAAAGCAGAATCTATAGGGTTACAGAAGGAAGACAGGAGAAAGACATGAGGTAAATTACTCCTCTAAAGAGAGACAGAGCGCACAATCATGAGGGACTCAATCACCTTTGGAATCTGTGATTGTAAGGAGCAGGCAGAAATATGAAGTTAAGGCCACAACGGGTTAGCCATGATCTTATTGAAAGGTGGATAAACTCAGGGTCAAAAGGCCTACTCCTCCTGTTTAGACAATAAGAAATATGAACAGGAGTAGTCCATTCAATCCCTCAAGCCTGTTCTGACATTCAGTAGGATCATGGCTAATCCGACATTCCTCACATCCATTTTCCTGCGATTTCCCATAGCACTTGATTTCCCAATTGATCAAGGATCTATCTGTCTCAGTCTTAAATGTATACAAGGACTCTGCCCCCACAGCTCTCTGTGGCAAGGAGTTCCAAAGACTCTTAATCCCCTGAAAGAAGAAATTCCTTCCTATCTCTTTCTGAAATTGGTGTCCCTTAATTCTGAGACTATACCTTCTGGTCCTTGACTGTCCCATAAGGGGAAACATCCTTTTAGCATTTACCCTGTCAAGCTCCTTAAGAATCCTATGTGCTTCAATGGGATCACCTCTCATTCCTCTAAACTCCAATGAGTGTTCTTAACCTCACTGAGCTTCAGACTATCCCAGTTTAAATTTCTGCACCATCTGGGGGTGGTTTGAGCAGGCGATGGTGTTGGGATTATTTTGATAGAGACTGTTTGATCCAAGTTGTCATTCTGGTCAATGCAATACCTAATGTCAAACTGAAGCTTTAAGCCAGGAAGGTCCCAGAGACGGTTCCCAATTAGTGTATATTCTAAGCTGGAACAATGGTAATATTAATATTGCTTTTAATGCACCTGGGCCAGAAATAGGGAAAGTTTGTCCTATTGTATTGAGTGGTTCCTATTGTATTGAGTGGTTCCTATTGTAGAGGCGGGGAGGATATGCATGTTGCTTAGGTTCAGACAGGACCCTGATGCCCTTCCTGTTCACATACGAAGATTAATTGGGCGGATTTGAAAGTCTTCCCAGCACTTGAGGATGATCCCAGCAAACAATTAACTGCTTCAGGATTGGGGGGGCGGGGGGCGGGGGGGGAGTAGAGGGTCTAAAGGAAGCAGATGGAAAATAAACTTCTAACAAATTTCGAAGTGGGAAGTAAGATGTGGACTAGAACAGTTGGTTCTCAAACTTAGCTCTCTGTCAATCCCAAAGATGACCGTTTATCCTGTTTCCCACAGAGATGGCGTGCACAATAGAGAAGGTGTTGGCTGATGCAAAGGTTTTGGTGGAGCGACTGAAGGATCATGACAATGCAGCTGAATCTCTCATCGAACAGACAACAACACTCAACAAAAGAGTGGAGAGTATGAAGGAAGTTGGAACAGGAATCCCGGACAGGGTAAGTTTAAAATCAGCTGGCAAATAAATGTAAAACTCTAACCCGTACTAGTCCTCCCATGCAATGGCTGCCCTCTTGCACACGTCTATACTATTTTGTGCCATTGTTTCGCACAGTCAGACAGTCTGTAAAAGTGCTGTGTTCTTTCTGTCCTCATTTTCACACACAGCAGGGTCTTCCTGCAACTCTAGACATGCGGGTAGTGGAGATTTCACTCAACCCCTCATCACTCTGATTACAGCCTTTTGTATATTTTTAAAAGTTAATTCTTGCGATGTGAGTGTTGCTGGAACAACTGGCATTGATTGCGCACCCTGGTACCCCTTGTGAAGATGATAGTGGGATGCCTTTATTGATGTCCATGCAATGAGTTTGGATTCGAAGAGTCCGTGCATATATTACTATACTATATGAGGAAAGAAGGTCTGCAGTGACCTCTACTGCCTAGAAGGACAAGGGCAGCAGTCAAGTAAGAACACTATTACCTGCAAGTTCCCTTCACAGTTACGCACCAGTCGAGTCATATTGGACTCAAAACATTAATTCTGTTTCGCTCCACAGATGATGTCTGACCTCCAGGATTTCTCCAGTGCTTTGTTTTTATATCATTTACACCCCATTCTGACTTGAATTAGATTGCCGTTCCTGCAGTGTGGTTGAATTAAAATCTTGGAACTCTCTACCCAGCAGCACTGTGGATGTTTATACACCCCAATAGTTTGCAGCAGTTCAAGGTGGTGGCTTGTCACCTTCTCTAGGACAAGTAGGGACAAGCAGTAGATGTTGGCTGTGTAATGCTCACATCCTATGAAAGAATATAATGAATGGTTCCACGGTACTGTTAGAAACCACTCCTTCACCCACCATTGGCAGCCAAATCTTCAGCCATCTCACTCTTATTCCCTGCAGCTGCCAGCTAACACCTTTTTTAAACTCTTTTAAAAAGAGTTCTTTTGTTGAGTTCTTGGTTAGGTTTCTTAATATCATTTTTCTCAGGTAATGTGTCCTTGAATACCCTAATTGTGACATGCTGCGTCTCAATGTTAGCTGTACCATCTTAGGTTGATTATACAATCCCAATCCGCAGTGTGCCTCCATCAATTCCTCACTCCTCTCCGTGATTTGCAGGATTCACTCATTGAATAAGACTTTATTGCCAACCATTTAACTCCCGGGGGGTGGGGGGGATCAGTGGGGTGTAGATCCTTTGATGATCCAAACTCATCAGCCTCCGAGAATAGAGGAGCAACATAGTGCAGAGGGGTGAAGCAGACTGGTGTCGTGTTGCACGATCTATTTCTGTGCCAATGAAAACTGACTCATTAGTGACTCTGTGATTGTCCATCATCTCTATCGTTGTGTTCCACGAACCATTTGTAGCTGGCTAATGGCTACAGCAGGTTTACAAGTTCTGAAGTGGTGACAGTTTGGACAGCGCAGTATCTGTAAATTTGTTCTGCCGTGTTTTCAGAACCAGGAAGATATTGCAGAGCTGCAGAAGCTGGCCAGTCACAAACCGCATGCCATCCTCTCTCAAGAGAATACTCAGATCCGGGATCTGCAGCAGGAAAATAAAGGTTTTTTTTTCCTTGTCTTCATAATTAAGATCTATTTACAATGCCTGTTATGTGAGCTAATGCCTAGTTATTTTGTTCAGACATAATTACAATCTGGTATTGATAGGTATTTTATTGTATATCTCATGCTTTTCAAAGGTCAGCGACTTCATGCTAGGCAAGTCTGTTTCTTTGCATATTTTTTCATTATCCTCAGTGAGCACATCAAGTGAAGGCAGGCCTGGTTTGGAGCTCCCTCTACAGTAACATAGCAAGCCAATGCCTGAAGTAGCAGAGTGAAATTACAACACAAATATAATTACATTCCTTTTTGTTATTCCTCCTCAATCAAGAATTTCACCTTGTATGTTTAGCCTGCGATTATTTGGGTCCCAAAGTTCAGTAAGAGGACTACCCAAGAGAGCAGTTTCTCTCAATATGTGGAACATATAGACTCTCAACTGCAAATGTGTCATTCCTATTACTTCATAGCATCTGAATGGGATTGCCCAATTTTTATCAATTCCAAACTTCAAAAGTATGATCCCTTTGAACAAATGAATAAAGAAAACATAATCTATGGAAGAGTGTACTATTCTAAAGATAAAAGGGAACATTTGTGTGTTTTATAATTTTGCACTGTGTGTTCTTCTCACTTCTACTCGCTTCTGGATTCTGGCTATCATAACCTCTACCCTTCAAACTTCAACTTAAAAATGGTTTTAAAAGTGTGCTACACAGTGTAGTACAGAGTATTTGAGACCAGTCGTGTCCCGGCTTTGAATGGTCATGGGTCTGTGCTGTTACCAGGGCTCCAGCAAAATCACAATTGCTCTCTTTAGCTCAAAGAGAGGAAAGTCAGCCAGGATTAGCACTCCTGCTTCATTAGATTATACTCCTTTTCTAGAAGGTGTAAATATGTGGGTGAAGGAAGGCTCAACCTGGTTTTGATGGCCCTGTGATAGAACTGCGTGCGGCCACTGCCATTGTTGGCGGAAACAGTGTTGTAATATCTCTAGACTAAACCTGTATGGACAAGGGTTCAAATCCTGTAGCAGATGCTGGAATTTGAATTTAATTAATAAATCTAGAATCGAAAGCAAGCCTCAGTAATGGTGAGCGTTAAACTATTGTTGATGAATCTTAAAAAACCCCATCTGGTTTACTAATGAATGACCTTTAGAGAAGGAAATCTTCCATCCTTGCATGCTCTGGCCTACCTGTGAATCCAGACCCACAGCAATGTGGCTGACTCCTTACAGCCCTCCGAAATGGCTGAGCAAGCCACTCGATCCACCTCTAATGACGGATGAGTTGTGTTAGTTGATCTTAGTTAGGGTAGATAATGGCAGAGGATTCGGTTCATTTCTGCCCAGGGAGTGGAAGGAGTGGTTCTTGCTCTTTGATTGTAACACAATAACTCTTAGTAAAAATTGTGGCAGAGGATCAGGCTACTTAAACATGAAAAAAAATTCTACTGGATGAGTTAGCAGAGCTTATAAAACTTCCCCAGCAGGAGTGACAGGAAATGGTGCAGAAGTTTTGCATGGAAGCTTATTACCTTAAACTCTTGCAGAATGGAGATGGTGCAGTAACTCAGCTGGCTTTTGGGAAAACGAAACCCTCATTGGGAACACACGAAATATTCACCTGGGAAATCAAATGTGAAATATGTCGTCCTTAAGGAAGTGAGGTCCTAAATGAGGAATTTTTTTGAACATCTTTCTTACCTGCATGGCCATAACTCATTGTCAGCTTTTGCTATTTCTGTCAGAGCTGTGGCTTTCACTGGAGGAGCACCGTTATACCTTAGAACTCATCATGAGCAAATACCGGAAGCAGATGTTAAGGCTCTTAACATCAAAGAATAAGCTGGACAGTGCATCAATTACCACTTTACACCAGGAGCATTCCCAGGTAACAAGCTGTATTCCACAAGCAGAGCCCACATTCCTGAATTGATCACTTTTAAACCAGGAGAATTTTGCTTTTGAGACTCAACTTGCCAATGTGTCGCAGTTTATACTTAAATTGAAAGGTGTGCAGCTTTGAAAAAGGTTATGGGTGAAGATCCTTGAGCAAGCCAGCTCTGGTGACTTCTTTTATTAACTAATGTTCCATGCTGTGCATTGTCTGGGTTCAGGGGCCAGTTTACATCAATGTAAACGGTCTCTGTTGCAGACTTCCAGCAGAGTTATGCTGCATTAAATTTGACCTTAATTTTATGAACTGAGATTATAAAACAAATGTGTGTTTTATGTAATCTAGATTTGTGCTGTAAAGAAATCTGTTCTTACAACAGAAAAAATTAGCTTTATACTTGATTAACCATTTTAGATTCTTTCAAAGTAATGACTGCCAGTTTCCTTTAAGGAGAAGTTACCATTGAGCTCCCTGATGGATGTTCAGTAAAGACCTCAGCAGAGCAGATTGTGTAAAATACTGAATTAGGGTGCTCCTGCGTTGCTGTGTAACACTATTGTTAAGCCATTTAATGGCAGAATTACAAAGACCAGGAGCATATTCTTGTCCAATGTCCTTGTGTGCTCTGTCATAATAGGATGGATGAGAATTGGAAATGCCTTTTGATTTTGTTAACACTCATGTCTGGTATTTCGAGTCCAAAAAACACCAGACCACTATTCTGTGGGTTTGCAGTGATGCTGCTGGTTAAGATGTTTGTAGGGCTTAAGCAGCATTGTTCATTGTGTGGGCCAAGATATTCTGTACCTTGCTGGATCCAGTGGACCTGGGTAACCCTTGTTGCTTATTGTACTTCCAGGAGCTGCAAACCACGGTAGAACAGATATGTGAAATGGCCAGAGTAATGAGGAAGTCTGTTCAAGTGGATGATCAAGAGTATTGTCAAATTCAAGAGAAAATAGCCCAGCTGGAGGTAGGAGTTTTGAATATGCTGCAGGACTTCATACAGGTCCTGTGCAAGTGCTGTCCCAACATGCACAAAGATCTTCAAAATCCAGTTTAGTAATTTTATGCTCGGTTTCCTTTTCATTGTCACTTTAGTTACTAGCGTTTCATGGGTCCAGTAACCCTTAGGACTTCCTGTTTCAGTCCTGGTGTGGTCCCAGATGGAATGGTGAACGATTCAGGAGTATGGGCACAGAAACGGTGTGGGGTGCAGGACAAAAAGATAAGATCTGGACTTTAGCCATCCACCACCCAGTTCTGGCTGAACTACATCAATTGCTATTGGGTCTCATTCTTTTCTACCAAATCTCCCACTTTACCAGAATCATCCTCGAAAATCTAAGGCACCCCATGGATTCGTTTGTCCATTACCCATCATTTCCTTAAACTCTCCTCCACGTACTGTTCACCTTCAACAATTGTGAGTTCATAGATTTCTTTGCCACTAGGGTTGAGGCCATTCAGTGCTGCTGCAGCTTCCACTTCCTTTCCCCTGTGCTCCCAAGCTCCTCTTTGACCTCCCCCTGGCCTTGAACGCTCCTCATATCCATGAGAGCCATGTTCCTTTTTCCCCATTTCACACTAATCTGCTGATTACCTTGCTTTTCTTCCTGGCCACTTGTTGGCTTATATTATTAATGGCCACCCTTTCACATCTGATGTTCTCAATCTCTTCCCCCTTTTCCCCAGCCACAATCCTCCTTGATCCCTCTTGTAAACTGTAGCTGCATCTCCAAATTTCTTCTTCTCGTGTCCTTGAACATGTGGTCACCATTTTTTTTGGTCAATTTTCCCCTGCAGCCAGTCAACCCTCCGTCCTCGGGTTGACTCTCCTCTAGTTTAATATTTTCCAACAGGTTATAAATGGCTCAAACTAAAATCCTTCAAGTCTGAAACAAAACCAAAAAAAACTGCAAATGCTGGAAATCTGAACCAAAAACAGAAATTGCTTGAAAAACTCAGGCAGCCTGACAACATCTGTGGAGATAAAGCACAGTCAATGTTTTGGGTCCAGTGACCTTGCTTCAGAACTGATAGTAGCTAGGAAAAGGTGATGTATATGCGGAATACAGGAGATGGACGGGGAAGGAGTCAATGATAGTGGAGAGCTGAAGGTGGATAAATCACCCAGACTGGATGGACTGTACTCCAGGGTTCTAAGGAGATTGTGGAGGCATTAGTGGTGATCTTTCAGGAATCACTGGAGTCAGGGAGCGTCCCAGAGGACTGGAAAATGGCTGATGTAACACCTCTGTTTAAGAAGGGAGGAAGTCAGAAGAGGAGAAATTGTAGGCCAGTTAACCTGACCATAGTTGTTAGTAAGATTTTAGAGTCCATTATTAAGGATGAGATTGCGGAGTACCTGGAAATGCATAGTAAAATAGGGTCAAGTCAGGTTGGCTTCATCAAGAGCAGGTCATGCCTGACAAATCTGTTAGAATTCTTTGAGGAGGTAATGAGCAAGTTAGATAAAGGGGAGCAGTGGATGTGATCTATTTGGTTTTCCAGAAGGCCTTTGACAAGGTGATGGACAGGAGGCTACTAAATAAGATCCCATAGGGGATAAATGCATGGTATGGATACAGGATTGGCTAACTGGCAGAGAGTGGAGATAAAGGGGTCTTTTTCAGGATAGCAGCTGGTGACTAGTGGAGTTTCTCGGTGTCAGTCTTGGGACCACAACTATTAGCGATTTGGATGAAGGAACTGAGGGTATCGTTGCTAAGTTTGCAGATGACACAAAGATAATTGAAGGAACGGGTAGTGTTGAGGAGGCAGAGAGGCTGCAGAAGGACTGGGACGGGCTAGGAGAGTGGGCAAAGAAGTGGTTTCCATCTGCCAATGTGGGAAAGTGTGAGGTTATGCTCTTTAGTAGTAAGAATAGAGGCATAGACCATTTCCTAAATGGGGAAAGGCTTTGGAAATCTGAAGCACAAAGGAATTTGGGAGTCCTAGTTAAGGATTCTCTTCAGGTTACCTTGGATTCGGTTGACAGGAAGGCAAATGCAATGTTAGCTTTCATTTCGAAAGGGCTAGAATACAAGAGCAGGGATGTACTGCTGAGGCTGTATAAGGCTGTGGTCAGACTGCATTTAGAATATTCAGAGTTTTGGGCCCTGTATCTAAGGAAGGATGTGCTGGCCTTGGAGGGGGTCCAGAGGAGGTTTACAGGAATGATCCCAGGAGAGAAGGGCTTGTCATTATGAGGAGCAGCTGAAGACTCTGGGTCTGTACTTGATTAGCGTTTAGAAGGATGGGGGCAGGGGGCGGAATCTGCTTGAAACTTGCAGAATACTGAGAGGCTTAGATAGAGTAGATGTGGAGAAGATGTTTCCACTAGCCGAAAAGACCAGGATCTGAGGGCAAAGCCTCAGAACAAAGGAACGACCCTTCACAACTGAGAAGAGGAGGAATTTCTTCCGCAAGAGTGGGGTGAATCGGTGGAACTCCTTTCCACAAAAGGCTGTGGAGGCCAAATTATTGAGTATATTTAAGACAGAGGTTAGATAGGTTCTTGATTAGTAAGGGGATCAAAGGTTAGGAGGAAAAGGCAGGAGAGTGGGATTGAGAAACATATCGGCCATGATCGAATGGCAGAGCAGAGCTGGGCCAAATGGCCTAATTCTGCTCCTATGTTCCCCTATGTTCTCTGTCTTGGGCTTGCTGCAGCGCTCCAGTGAGGCTCAGCACAAGCTGGAAGAACAGCATCTTGTTTTCAACTTGGGGATCCTGCAGTCTTCAGGAGTCAGTGTCAAATTCAGTAACTTCAGGACCTGAGCATCTTCTCCCATATCCTTTACTAAGCCTACACCTGAGGCCCTGTCATCACGTGGGCTGCTTTCATCACAGCTAATCCATTCTCCCCCATTGATGGTTCCCATTAGCAGCTTTTCTTTCTCCCCAGCTCACCATTATCCACTGCTTTGTCTGTCTGACTGCTGTTCTGTCTCTGGGCTCCACTTTCCCCCTCCCCAAAAGCCCATCTTTCAGCATGAATACCGTCTTTTCCTAGCTACAGTTGGTTCTGAAGAAGAATCACTAGACCTGAAATGTTGACTCCGCCTTCTCTCCGCAGCTGCTGCCAGATCTAATGAGTTTCTCCACAATTTCTGTTTGTTCCTTTGTGTCTGTGGTACATCATCCATCCCTCCCCACTGCAGCCAGTCAATCATCCTGTTTAGAAACAGGTAAACTATGACATAGAAGGAACCCATTCAGCACAATGTGTCTGTGCCAAATGAAAAAGACCTATCCCAATATCCAGCTACTGGTCCATAACTTACAGATGAAGGCTGTTCAAGACATTATCCAAATTTTTTTTTCATGGAGTAAGTGGTTCTTCCTCTTCTATGCTTTAAGGAAGGAGGTTTCTGACCCCCACCACTTTTTCTGAGTGAAAACATTTCTCAATTCCCTCTAATCCTTCACGAATTAAATCCATGCACTCTGACTATTCACTCTACTGAGGGAATTAGGTCCTTCCTACCCACTCTTATTTGGGTCACTCATAATTTTATACACGTCAGAAAATCTTCCTTCTCTGCCTTCATTCCAAGAAAATGACCCAACATTAAAGTTCTCCATTCCAGGCAACATGCTCAGAAAGCTCTTCTGTACTATCTACTACATTCTTCCTGTAAGACAGTGACTAGAATGTTAGGCAGCACACTTGCTTTCGAGTTCTCTGCTTCATTGTTCAGTTTGGTGGAACTAACTTGACTTGGTTCCACCCTTCAGTAGCTAGAAGATCAATTGTTGCTGCACTTGTTCCATACCTCATCTCCCCAAAGTTCTGTCTGTTTGCCTTTCTTCATCCTCGTGCTGTTCTTAGGCATTGGCTTCTACTGACATGGATTTGACTTTCACGTATATTGACTGTTCTCAGTTCTACCCCTCCATCGCCCCCTGGCCATTCTTCATATGAGTCTAGATAATGAGGTTGGAAGATAATTCAACAACAGAGGCATCACATTCCAAACCTAATCCTTCCTGATCAGAAAAGGCTTCTAACCTTCAGCTGATCAGACAGTACCTGTGTAGACTAGCAGTTTGGTTGTAATGCCACATTGAAAAATAACTGCCAAATCTATACTTGGGTGGCAGAATGAAATTGATAGTTACAGACTCAACTCAGCATGAGTCATTCATTCAGAAGTAAGAGTGGAGAACGTAGGGGAAAAGGCATAAGCAAGATTTAAAAAGTGACGTGCTTTAATGTATTGTAAACTGTGCAAAAGTCTTACTTTTTTTTCTCCATGTTGATTTCAAGCTTGAAAATAAAGAATTACGGGAGCTAGCATCATTCAGTAAGGAAGTATTACTTCCAGAGAATCTTCACCAGCCACCTCACTCTGGTAAATAATCTTAGCTGCAACAGTCTCTGAATCTAGTTCCTGCACTGCCTTGCAAACACTCGAACGGTGCCTCCAGTTCACAGCTGGCTGTGTTCTTCCTGATGCTCAGAAAAGATTGAAGTTTTAACCAGGAACCAGTGCAGCTTCATGTTTCATTGGTGCTTTCATTGCCTTTGGGGAATCTTTAGTGAACCATGAAGTTTTACGGAAGTGCTTTTCCCCGCAACAGCCTCCTCCAAAAAATCCATTTCCTTTAGTCATGTCTTGATGTTTATGTCCTACCATCACTGTTGCCAGTCTCCATGTGATCTGTTTCTGCTATGAAGACATGTCGAGCTAAGCCTATGGATCTCCTCATGCTCTGGTTGCTGCCTCATAATCCTGCAACAGGCCAAGCGCCTCTGACATGGCAGGTCCAATTCTGCCTCAGTTATTGGTCCTCATATCCAGCAAGATTGTATCAGATCTTTAATGCATTATGCAAAAGCCAAATCATAAATATCAAATTATCAATGGGCCAACAGCTCTGACTTCGAACTTCAGATGTGAGCAGTATTGGTGTTTGTGTGTTCGTGTGTTCCTGTGTTCCTCTACGCTTGGTCCTTGCTGAGTTAGCTGATCTCAGCTAACATTGCACTATTGATCTTAATGTTCCAGCCTAAAATAGGATAATCAGCCAAGATTTTTGCTGTCCATAGCTTGCTTCCTACAAGAAAGAATGTATGGACTTGACGTGAGAGAGATCAGATTCAGCTATGATACCCCACCCATTGAATAGGCTCCTGATGCCTTCTGTTCCAACTTGCACAGGAAGAATAGCTGTTTGGATGCGCTGAAAGACTATTTCTACTGTGATCATGGGATAACATCTTTAGAAGAGATGTGGTGGTAAATTGAGGGCAGCAAATACTTTACAGACCTGAGTAGGAATTTGGTTAAGATGAAGGTGTGAGCATATCTGAACCATAATGTTCTATCCTTGGTCATTCTGCTGTTAATCACCTTGAATATAAAATGAATTAAAGAACATGACAGGGTATTAAGTCTGTGATGTTCCTGCTCCATGAATCCTACAAATAAATACAAAATACTGTGGATGCTGAAACTGAAACATTAGCAGAAGATGCTGGAGAAATTCAGGTCTGGGAGCACCTGTGGAGAGAGAAACAGAGTTATTGTTTCGAGAACACTATGACTCTTCCTCAACCCAAATGCTGCCAGGCCTGCTGAGTTTTTCCAGCAATTTTTGTTTGTTACATGAATCCTGCAGTTTTGGTCTGTTTTCTCTCCTTCCCATCTTTCCTGCACCATTTACACAAGTGTGTGTGGCCAGAAGCATTACACCCTTGAATTCTGATCATTACTTTCAATGCACTTAACCTTCCCTGAGATTAGTTTGAAAAATGTTTCTTTTGACTAAAAGTATAGATGGACAGTACAACAATATTTTATCCAAATTGAAAAGGGAGACTGGGAGACTCTCTGTTCTGGTAAAGTGTGGAGACAGCTTTGCCTTTCTGCACATGTCTGCACATTGACAGCCAGACTAAGAGGAGCCTGGGGTTTGAGTAATGGGAGCTCTGCTCATCTTGGATCTCATCATTTATACAACTGGAAAACTGACTCTGGAACCTTTTAACTTGTTCAGCCAAGGCCTAGCATTTGTAATTGTCCAAATAAATTGAGTGTTTTTTTTAAACCAAATGTTTCAAGATATACTGCCTGTATTTGTATTGAATGTTTAAAAATTCTTCATAAATGTGTTGGTCAATCACAAAAAAACATTAGAAAGCATAGGTTTAAACACTGACACCACAAAACTATCGCTGCTGGTTAAAAGTTTATGAAGTAATTATCAACAGAATGTGCTTGGAGACTGAAATTTTCGGCATGAAAGGATCCAAAACTTTAGTCACAAAGGTTTAATCATGCTCTTTTTTGTTGCGATATGTACTTCTGCTACACTCACACATCTCCACATGCCTTCAGCTGCTTAGGACCTAAGCAGGTTATGGTCATCTGTTTTAATATTTTCTTTCACGTTTCAGTACCGTATTTTATTTTGAAGTTCCTATGAAGTGTCTTTGGATATTCATGAATATGTATTGTCTCTGGTTAGTACAGAGGACAGTGTTATATTACCCATAGATTTTCTACTGAGGAACTAGATGCTGTTGTGCACTACCAAGATACTTTGCTGGAGGAGTTCCTTTAGGCAATATCTGAGCCACGCTATCTCCAGCTACTACTTCAATGACTGTTCTATGATGGATGTTTGCAGTGTTGGATTTTATTTGGTTCTTTTAAATAATAAGGCAAATCTATACACCTGTGCAACAAGGGCTGAAAGCAGCATCCAGCCTATGGCTGATCAGTAAATTAATCTATTCCAGGCAGTAACCGTTTCCAAAATGCTAAATCCAATAACCACCTTCTGATATTAAAGAGCATTACTATCACTAAGTCCCCAATTGGCAATGCCCTAAAAGTTGAAATTGACCAGCAGTTCAACTCACCTATGGAAATGCTCATCCAAAACGAAAAGTACCAGTCATTACCATTTGGCAATCGGACAATCTTTTACACTATGACAGAACTTTGATTTCTGATTAAGTCTTGGTCAGAAATGCAAAGTGTATTTGTTTTTGGTTGTCTTCGAGCACAGGGAGTCCAAGCCCCCACACTCCATGTTTTTTTGATTCAGAAAGGACAGTTTAAATAACTTTTTAGTCTGTGAATGAATAAGTGGATAGGACAGCATGCTGTTGAGGTCAGGTCAGATCAGGTCGTCATTCGAGGGGTTTGGGAGTACTTCTGAAGAGTCCTGAGGCTTATCCTTGGGTGTACATTCACTCCCAAGACTGTTAGAATATCTGGGCCATTGTGTTTACAAGAGGTTAGAGGCTGGGACTACTATAGTGTGCATTTGCTCCCATCTCCATGCAGCCTCTACAACACAAGTTCGGAAAGTGATGGAAAGCTCTTTAGTTGTCTGAATGACTGCAGCTCCAGTAACACATTCAGCCAAACCATCCACAACAGCTTGATTGGCCACATGCACTGTTTTCACTAATGGTGGTTCTTGGCTTCGCTATCTTGTTTGTAAATGACAGACTGCAACATTTCACCAGGTCTTTGACAACATTTCCCAAAACCTGTGACTTCCACTAGCTGAAAGATGAGGGATTTCCATTATGTCGTTGTCTGCCCTACCAACTCATACAATCCTGACTTCAAAAGTATCACTGTTCCTTTATTATCATTGGAACACAATCCCAGTGCAGAGCACCTTCAGCATGCAAGTTGCAGTGCTTCAAGAAGTCACCTCACCAGTACCTTCTCAAGGGCAACAGTTTTAGGTAATTGACAACACTGCCAAACATGGAGAATTAAAAACTTTTGAAACCTAATTTTGAATTTAACCACTATTAATGTCTTTCAAGCATAATGGTGCAAAGGTTCTTCACTGGCAACTTACTCAGGTTGTAATGAGTTTGGACCCACAACTGGAATTAAATACAAGTGAATTGAGAAACTACATTGAAATAGCTGGTGTTAGAATATACAAAAGAGGAACAGAAATACGCCATTCAGCCCCTTAAACCCATCCCACAACTCAATAAGATCATGGCTGATCTTCCACAGACCTCGATTCCTCTCTCGTCCCAGTGTTTCACCGTCCTTAACCCCTGACATTTCAAAAAATTATCCATAAGACTGTAAGATGTAGGAACAGAAGTAAGCTATTTGGCCCAATGAGTCTGCTTCACCAATCGAGATCATGGCTGATCTGACAATCCTCAACTTCACCCCCCTTCCTTTTCCCCATAACCCAAACACTTTACTGATCAGAAACCTGTATATCTCAACCTTGAATATGCTTAATGATGCAGCTTCAACAGCTCTATATGGGAAGGAATTCCACAGATTCACTATCTTTTGAGAAGAAATTCCTCTTCTTTCTACCCTCATTGGATGTGATTGCTCTGAGATTATGCCCTCTGGTCCTAAACTCTCCCACAAGTGGAAACAACCTGTTGGCATCTACCCTGTTGATTTCCCCAAGAATCTTGAATGTTTCTGTAAGGTTGCCCCTCATTTCTGTAAACTTCAGTGTGTATCAGCCCAACCTACTTAACTTCTCCGCATAAGGAAATCACCATACCAGAATCAACCTAGTGAACCTTCTTTGGCTAGCCTCCAATGCCAGTTTATATATTTCTAATCAACATGTTCAGAGATGTTACTAAACACCTCTGGAACTGGTGGGACTTGAACCAGGCCTCTTGACTCATAGGCAGGAATACTACCACCAAACCAATATTGATATTCCCAGTGCCACCTTAGGTACAAAGCAGAAAAATAAAGAAACAAGATCAAAAGTTAAACATCACAGTCCTTAGTATTAAGCAGAAAAATAAAGAAATTAAGTTAAAAGTTCAACAGTCTTTCTTAAGTGCTTAGTAATGCTGAGCTTGCACTCCATACAAGGGCTTGATCTCCTTGGCCCACTGTCCAGGAGACCTTGAGCCGCCACAGATGCCAGGGGACTTCCCTCGTCGCCATGTTGGGCTCGCTCTTCCCTCATTGGGCTTGATCTCCCAACTGTCGAAGTACCAATCCAGGCCCTCAGCCACTGCCACGCACTGGACCTCATGAAGCTGCAATGCCTCCACTAATCAAGCTCTCTCTAGAAGGTAAGTCTGATCTCCCCGTGCTCGCAGCTGCTGCAGATGCCAGGAGACCTGGAGCTTCCTGCTTTCGGAACTGTGTCCCTCAGTTCATGATTCCCCACTGATGGAAACATCTCAATATCTACCCTATCAAGGTCCCCCAGAATCTTGTGTATTTAATAAGATTATCCCTCTAATAAACAAAGGTGTAAGAGATTTAGCTACATGTGTACTTTTTGTGTTTCATGCACAACAGCATCCTCTTCCCATTGTTCTGCACTCTTGGAATCTCTCTCCATTTAAACAATAGTCTGCCTATTGGTTCTTGCATCAAAAGTGCATAACTTCACACTTTCCTGCATTTAACTCCTGCCAAGCTTTTACCAATTCACTCAACTATTGATTTTCCCTGACAACAAGGTGCAGAGCTGGATGAACATAGCAGTCTATTGATTTTCCCTTGCAGGTTCCTTATTTCGTCATCACAATATGCCCTCCAATCTATCTTTGTATTGTCTGCAAATGGGGATACAATACCCTCTGCCCCCTCCACTAAGTCATTACTGTAGATAGTAAATAATTGAGGCCTTAGGACTGATTGTTGTGGCACTCCACTGGTAATATATTTCCAACATGAAAAGATCCTATATCTTCTGTGCATTAATCTCAGTTCATGCCAAAACATTAGCCCCAATACCATAAGCTCCTATTTAATGCAATATCCTTTCATGTGGCACATTATCGAATGCCTTCTGGAAATCCAAATACACTGCATTTGCCAGCTCTCTTTTATCAACCCTTCTTGTTATATCCTCAAAGAACTCGAGCAAATTTGTCAAAGATGATTTCCCTTTCACAAAATAATATCAACTGAAATAAATTTTTGCTGAGCATTATGAAATATCTGCTTAAGTACCTGCCACTGCTCATCTACTGACTTTCCCCTTAGTTTGTTTTCCCAAACCGCTTTACCTGACTCTGTCTTCACACCTCTGAAGTTGCCTTTACTTAAGTTGAGGGCATTGCTTTGAGACCTCAGTTGCTCTCCCTTAAACTGTATTTGCAATTCTACTATATAACGATTACTGTGTAGAATCCTTAACCTTGAAATCTATTATTCTTACCTTATTATAGATTACTAGATCTTAAGCAGCCTGTTCCCAGGTAAGACCTGCTCTAAGAAATGATCCGTGATGCTCCCTACAAATTCATCCTCTATGTGTAACTTAAACTTTGTACTACAGTGAGGCAACTCTTCAGGTTTCTGTAGACCACTCTCACCCTAGACTTCTTCCCATGCCATTCCACCCAAACTGATTCCACATCACAATCTATTGCATCTAGATCACGACTCACCTCCACACTAATGCCATCCTTTATTAGCAAAGCTGTGCCACCTCCATTTTTTTTTGGTCTGTTATTCTGGAACATTGAATATCCTTTAATAATGAGTTTCCAGTCTTGATCACCCTGTACCTACATATCTGTAATAGCTATCAGGTCATATTCGTTTATTTCTATTTCGCTGTCAAGTCATTTATCTTGTTACAAAGGCTGCATGCATTTAGATAAAGAACTTTAAGCTTCAACTTTTTAACCATTATTACACACTTTGCTAATTTCTCCTGTACTTCTGTATAGATTTTCTACCCTTTCCTGTACACTTTAATTATTGTTAGGCTGGAAAGTGAACTAAGTTTTGATTTAGCTGGTTAATAAGATTTGTTTGGGACTACACCAGATCTGCATGATCCAGACGTACTTCATGTAGATGAGCAATAAAAAAAAATCACTTGTAAGATTTATTACCTGCCTGCTTCTGCACTCAGTGAATTGATTCAGTGAGTATTTGGACCACCAGCCCCCAGAGCAAGATGGTGCCCTTCTCTGTACCCCACCTTCCTAACACATTGTTAGGATTAAGATCTCATCATGTGTGGAACTGAAGGTGGCAGTCCATCTTCAGCTAAAAATCTTGATGGTGTGACATTAATTTAATAATACATCGCTCACATCACATCAAAATCTGAT